CTTCCCCCGAGCCCGTGGCCCTACCTTTGCAGGCCTGCAGGTTGCAGAAGCGCCGCTCCATGTTTGCCGTCAGGATGTCCTGGCACCAGAGCCCCCCCTGCCCGGGCGGGTGGTAGGTGCGCAGGCGCCGTTGCTGCCCCACGCCGCAGCTGCGGGAACATGCGCCCCAGGGCGCCCACGGGGTCCAGCTGCAGTTCCTGCCGGCGCACTCCTCGCCCAGGCACGGCGGCACCTCTGCAAAGGAAGTTGTCATGGGATAAGAGGGAAGGTCCTTTCATGGACTGAGAACTGGTTACAAGACAGGAGACAAAGGGTAGGAAGAAATGGTCAGTTTTCAGAGTGGAGAGGGGTAACTGGTGGGGTCCCCCAAGGGTCAGTCCTGGGACCAATCCTGTTCGACTTATTCATAAAAGATCCAGGGAAAGGGGGAAACAGGGTGGTGGCAAAAGTTGCAGATGATCCCAAACTGCTCAAGATAGTTCAGACCAAAGCAGACTGTGAAGAGCTTCACAAAGATCTCACCAAACTGAGTGACTGGGCAACACAATGGCAAATGAAATGTAATGTGGATAAGTGTAAAGTAACGCACATCGGGAACAATAACCCCAACTAGACATACAATATAATGGGGGCTAATTTAACTACAGCTACTCAAGAGAGATCTTGGCGTCACTGTGGAGCGTTCTCTGACAACATCCACGCAGTGAGCTGCGACCGTCAGAAAGGCAAATAGACTGTTAGGTGTCAGTAAAAAAGGGCTGGAGAATAAGACGGAGAAACTCTTCTTGCCTCGATATAAAACCATGGGACGCCCACAGCGTGAATACTGCGCACAGATGTGATCGCCTCGTCTCAAGAAAGAGCTATTGGCATTGGAAAAGGGTTAGAAAAGGGCAACAAAAATGAGGAGGTTGGAACGGGTCACATATGGAGAGAGATTAAAAAGACTTTGTTCAGCTTAGCAAAGAGGAGACTAAGGGGGGATACAATAAAGGTCTATAAAATCAGGAGTGGTGTGGAGAAAGTGACTAAGGAAAAGTTCTTTACTTATTCCCACAATGTAAGAACTAGGGGTCACCCAATGAAGTGAATAGGCAGCAGATTTAAAACAAACAAAAGGAAATTTTCTTCACTTAGTGCACAGTCAACCTGTGGAACTCCTCGCCAGAGGATGTGGGGAAGACCAGGACTTTAACAGGGTTCAAAAAAGAGCTAGATAGATCCATGGAGATTAGGTCTATCAATGGCTGTTAGCCAGGATGGGTAGGGAGGGGTCCCTGGCCTCTGTTTGTCAGAGGCCGGTGTGGATAAATCCCTGTGATATTCGACTTTGTATTAAGATCTTGTCCTTTTCCATCTATCTCTGTTAAGTGTCTTATAGAATCTCTGGAACCTTTCTCCTGGAACTTTGTATGAAGAGATCTAGATCTTGTCTTTTGAGCTCTCCCCTTTCCTTGATTGCCCTGTTGAAATGAACGAGGTGTGAATGGAGAATGAAAGGGGAGCCCCTCCAGCAGCAGTCACAAGGGTGGAGAGAGTCTGGGCGTCAGACCCAAGACAATCCCTGCAAAGTGAGCTCATTAAGAGGACAGACGCCTTGGGAGTCAAGCAGCAAGTGCTGCCCTTGGAAGGACTCTCTCTGGAGCAGCATGAGGAAAGGCCAGGTGATGACTAATTGGCTGCATGAGAGGGATAAATTGGAGGCGTCTTGCAAAGGGACCCCGGGTTTTCGTCTTGGCAACATGGGAGCATCGATCCAGATCGGCAGAAACCCGGTTCCACCCCTCCCCCATCTAACTCGCCTGCCCAGTGCAATTAGGGGGAGCAGCTTTTGGTAACAAGAAGACGGAGTGTGCTTGTGTGAGTGCATGAGTGCACTGTGTCATATGCATACGATAAATATTGATTGATCTATGTATGTTCCATAAATGTGGCGTGTTGCCTTATCCCCCTGAAAAAGATCCCGGGTGCTTCTTTTAAGCACAACATTTTGGTGGAGAAGTGCGAAAAGGGGAAGGTACCACGAGCATTGGCGGGGCCCTGATTGGCTGCTCCAGCAGCCCCTCTGATTGGTTACTTCCCTTCAACTACTCTACGCTCCTTGGAAGACTACTTTTCAGCTCCTCTCTAGAGTAGAATGTTGCAAAACTCCTAGGCCTCCAGCAGAGGGGCTTCTGGGCCTAATCCTCCCCATCACAGTCCCTGACCCTATAAGCCTGCAACCAAAATAAGATTTGACATAACCCAGGAAAGGACTATTTGAGGCATAGTGTTTACAGAAACTAAATTGGGGTGGGGTGTTCATATTTGTTCCTGGTCATACTGTGTTGATTTGTAGAATCATAGAATCATAGAATAATAGGACTGGAAGGGACCTCGAGAGGTCATCGAGTCCAGCCCCCCGCCCTCAAGGCAGGATCAAGCTCCGTCTACACCATCCCTGACAGATGTCTATCTAACCTGTTCTTAAATATCTCCAGAGAGGGAGATTCCACCACCTCCCTTGGCAATTTATTCCAATATTTGACCACCCTGACAGTTAGGAATTTTTTCCTAATGTCCAATCTAAACCTCCCCTGCTGCACTTTAAGCCCATTACTCCTTGTCCTGTCCTCAGAAACCAAGAGGAACAAATTTTCTCCTTCCTCCTTGTGACACCCTTTTAGATATTTGAAAACCGCTATCATGTCCCCCCTTAATCTTCTTTTTTCCAAACTAAACAAGCCCAGTTCATGAAGCCTGGCTTCATAGGTCATGTTCTCTAAACCTTTAATCATTCTTGTCGCTCTTCTCTGTACCCTTTCCAATTTCTCCACATCTTTCTTGAAATGTGGCACCCAGAACTGGACACAGTACTCATTTGAGGCCTAACTAGTGCAGAGTAGAGCGGCAGAATGACTTCACGAGTTTTGCTTACCACACACCTGTTGATACAACCTAGAATCATATTTGCTTTTTTTGCAACAGCATCACACTGTTGACTCATATTCACCTTGTGGTCCACTATGACCCCTAGATCCCTTTCTGCCATGCTCCTTCCTAGACAGTCGCTTCCCGTCTTGTATGTATGGAACTGATTGTTCCTTCCTAAGTGGAGCACTTTGCATTTCTCTTTATTAAACCTCATCCTGTTTACCTCTGACCATTTCTCTAACTTGCTAAGGTCATTTTGAATTATGTCCCTATCCTCCAAAGAAGTCGCAACCCCACCCAGTTTGGCATTTGTAAAAGATGTTAGTTACCCCTTTTGAACAAATCTTGTAAAAATTCGGACATAGCCCTTGGTCTGATCAAGTGTTAGCTGATGGCCATACAATTTCAGACCTAGAAGACAAATTGGCTAACTACTTACGGATATATAAACCCTCAACTCCAATGGAAAAGGAAGCAGCTGCAGTCTAGCTTCTATGGAAAACCTGTAATGAGATGTTCCTCACATTGACCGAATATAAGAATCCAAATATGAAACTGTAAAATGTAAAAGCCTCTGCTGCAGAAGTGGAGAGGTGGAAACGCACGTCCCTCAGTACCCAGACACAGCTAGAGTCCCTTAAGGATGGGTACTGAGAGTTAAAGCAACTCTCAGATTTTTCAGGAATATGCTTAAGAAAAAGGACCAGGAGGAGTGGGGCTTAGTGAACAAGGCCATCCTCCTTGCTAAACTGGTAACGAGACAAAGCCTGAGTCTGTGGAAAGGAGCCACTTTCCATTTAGCAAGAAAAACAGGATCAGGCAGGTAAAAGATAGATTGAAAGTCTTGCGGCAGAACTGAGAAAAAGCAGTAAGTACTGGAAATTGAAATCCTTAAAACATACTTACAAGAGTCATATCTGAAACAAGGCCAGTTTTCATTAAGAGATAAGAAAGTGTTTTAAGAAAAAGAAAACCCACAGAGAATTTAACTCTACAGAGAATGGAGGGAATTGAGCAGTTGGGAAAATGCTAAAATGGTTTAGGGAAAAATTGGGGTTTCTTTGCAGCCATTCGGAAGGAAAAATGGGCCCTTTTCCAAAGGAATGTCTGTAAACAATCCAGGCGAATTTGACTCAAATCCGTACATTTGATTATAGATACTGCAAAAAGAACTTTAAGGGGGTTTCTAGTGGAACTGAACTACCCCAATGAATAAAAGGGAATGTAATCGTACAGCTATGTAGACAGAGTGTAAGAGAGGTTCAGAGAGAATGTATGTGAATCTGTGCGTAAATATATATACTGTAAATAAGTGAGGTTTTCAAGGTCCAGTAATCTTGTTGTGAAAGTTAGTGTTTTGTAGGGCAGGTTACTCATGTCTCACCTGTGCAGGTTACTCGTGTCTCACCTGTGCACTGGGGCAGGTTACTTGTGTCTCACCTGTGCAGGTTACTCGTGTCTCACCTGTGCACTGGGGCAGGTTACTCGTGTCTCACCTGTGCACTGGGGCAGGTTACTAGTGTCTCATCTGTGCACTGGGGCAAGTTACTCGTGTCTCACTTGTGCACCGGGACAGGTTACTCGTGTCTCACCTGTGCACCGGGGCAGGTTACTCGTGTCTCACCTGTGCACTGGGGCAGGTTACATGCCTGCTCCTGGAACGATTCTCCGCTGCAGTTGGCTCCTCCCCCACAGATCCGGGTCCGGGTTTTCGTCGCCGGGACCTCGGGGTCGGTGCAAGTTTTGGAGCAGGGACTCCAGGGGGACCAGAGGCTGAAGCCCTCCTCGGAGCCTGGAGGGCAGGAGCAGGGGTCAGAGGGGTTAACTCACTGCTGCTGGCACAG